CCTGCTCTACCCTCATCAGCACAGACTTTAGGGTCTTTTTGCATCAAATCTGCCCAAGGAGACTGTTCGTGGCACGGCTGTTAATGATGCAGCTTCCTGAGCTATTTTATAGACGGGTCACCGGGTGAGACTTCTCAACGGTGGCTCGGTCTTTTTTCTCCCATGTGTCCCTCCAGCCGTCCCGGGGACCCGAGCGGTGGCTGCCGTGAGCACAGCTGTGTCAGCCCGGGGCAGTGCTTGCTTCTCAAAGCGGCAGATCCTACCTGTGGACAGCACCCTCCAGATGTGACAAACTAGTACACACCTCCGCCCGTTTCTGACTGCCCTGCTATTGCTGCCAGTTGAGCATTATTGCCTGAGCTGTACTCGTCAATGTTTTTCATACCGAGGCTGTGAAAGGAAGTTGGTTTTGTGGTTTTTGTTGTTTTTTTCTTTTTCTGGAGACAGGGTCTTGCTCTGTCGCCCAGGCTAGAGTGCAGCTCAGTCACAGCTCACCGTAGAGTTGAACTCCTGGGCTCCAGAGATCCCCCCGCCCCCACCTTCCAAAGTGCTGGGAGGACAGGTGTGAGCCACCTGCTAGGGCTGTGAGGCGCGAAGTTTAAGGGAGGCTGTTGATTTGGACCAGCCTCCTGCACTTGGCCCCCGCAGGCCAGACCAAACCAGGATGGAGTCACTGGTGCTAGGTGCCGTGTCATCAAACCGAACCTTGAAATGGGCCAGTTTTCCAAAAGGCAGGAGACTGCAACAGCCTGTGTCGGCGTAATAAGGAAGCCTTTCATCCTGTAAGGAGAGCGACTTTGAAATGGCCCATCCGAGTCTTGGTTTCTGTTGCTGCTGTCTCCAGTCCGTCTCTGTCTACAAAGCCAACCTCCTCTGCTCGGCCCACCAAAACGCTCATTCCGTTTTGTGGAATGAGGTGCTGCCCGACACTAGAATGGCTAATAAAAGCCAATTAAGATCTTTAAGTTTGTTGTAATTGTGTCTTTTGACAAGGCGTATTTAGAAAATTACATTTGTACAGCATTCTGGAGTGAATTGGAAGGCTTGGTTAGAAAAAAAAAAAAAAAACAACCGCTCCAATTCCTTTGTATGACAGATGCAATCATGAAGGTGAAAAGAGCGATAAAAGCAATAATGAATCCTCTATGATCATATAAAAATTGTGAAAGAAGGGGAAATTAAATCAAAAGAACTAAATATGCATGCGTGCCCAAAACAAAGCACATTTCTTTCTTCTTTTCAATAGAGATTGAAACAAAAAACTTTCCTGATGATAAAGTTGTGAGGCTTCACAACAGGCTTTCTGGGGTGATCCCACAGACAGGTTGGGGGGTTGTGTGCGGTGTGCCCCTGCAAGCATCCGCTCGCAGCTGGTGCTACGAGAAAGCCGCACCTGTGCATAGAATAGCCCTGCGTTGAGTTTACAGACAGACCAACAAGTACCATCTAAGAATCCTTTCAGCTTTTACATCTTTGAATCATTGTAGTAACAAAACAAAACAAAACATAACAGGTCATTGATTTTTCACCCAATAGACAACCAACCTTCAATTTTCCGCGGCTCGTCTATAGCCGTCTCACGGCTGGGCAGCTCTGGCGGGGGAGTCCGGAACCCTTCAGGTCTTCATGTCACTGGATTCCAACCAGGAACAGAACTCAGATTCTGTTGCACAGACTAAGGTTCCTTTATTTTTGTAACATAGGAGGTGTTGATCTTGCTTCTTAACACCGGGGGGGGGGGTAGGGGTGGGGTCAGGGGGTATGCTAAAATCTCTCACTTCAGCATTGTGCAATTCATCCATGTAAGGAAAAACACCTGTACCCTGTAAATCTGTTGAAATAACAACAATAATATAAAACAAACCCAGGGTTACAAGAGGATGCCACTATACTTAGGAAGCTAGCTCGTCTAGAAGCTTCCCGAACATACATGTCGTGGCAGTGCAATCTTTTTAAAACGGAGTACACACGGTGTGCACACAAGTGTGTGTGTATTGCAACGAACAGAGGCATTAGAGCACTCTGGGGTTACCTTCAAAGGTGATCTGTCATTATAAGTTTTCTTGTTGTTGCTGTTCTTACACTCTTAAAATTTATTACCTTTAGATTCATGTCGTTTGCAATGTCCTGCCTTGTGTTAATAGAAGGAAAATAATTCTGTTTACCAGGAACTATATTGAATGAATTCATCTTATAGTATTATCATTAGTATTACTCACAGCATTGTTATTAAAACAAACATTGATTTTTATTTGGGGGAGTTATTGATCAAGGTGAGTGGGCAGGAGAGCTGCATGAATCATAGATTTCTTGTCCGACACAATAGAGCACACTTTTCTTTAAAACAAAGCATTCAACTTGTTTTGCTTTATAATGAGTGCTTCCTTTTTAACTGAATACTTTTCAATAGCTGTATTTTTTCCTACGGGGTACATTTTTGAACTTTGTTAGTACCTTTGAACCTTTTTCCGGTATCGTATAGCATTTAAACTTATTTTAGCATCATCTTTCTGACTTGTAAATATTACAAGTGTTTGGCAATTGTAAGTATCAAAATGAAAGGGCATTTGAAGCTTACGGAAACTGTTTTGCAAAGGACCATCCAGGTACGTGTTGGAGAAGATGTTGCTAAGCAAAGGAGCAGACTTAGTGTAAAATGAAGTACCTAACAAAACAAACAAACAAAAACAACAACAAATTTCTCATCCATGGACATTCAGGAAACATTGAGCATTTCGCCGTAGTCTTCTTTTGCAAAGCAGGTGGCTTCCCCAAATCTCACTTCTCTCTTGCATGTGGGTTTGCAACTTTTTTACCTTATCCCTGCTTCTCTAACCTCAGAGGAACAGAACAGGAAAAGTGGGGAGTTTGGGGCTCCATTTATTTTACTTCCTAAACACACACAACTTTTCTTTTTGATTTGTGAGTAAAGATTAAATCTAACGGCCAGCGGCCACAAGTGCAATCAAGATCGATTGCACTTTAAATCTGGCGTCTCGCCTTGCCCCTTGTCATTTGCTCCGAGGAGCAGTCTCACGGTCACGTCGATCGCACCCTGGGCTAACCGTCTCCGTTGTTTCTGTCCACTCACCAGGTTTGCAGTGGCTTTCACGGAGTCCATGAAGGAGACGGCACACGTGCAGTGGGTACGTGTTGATCCCGTGTCGTTATTTGGGTCGTGCTGGCGAGACCGCAGAGTTGGGGAACCGGAAGGCAGTCCCCCCGGAACCGACGGTGTTCCGTGGACGATGCCTGCCGTAGACACGTTAGCGTATTAGGTTTCCCGTATATTGATGTTTTTTGCGTGTGGATTCTCTAAAAACCTCACTGAGGTTTTGTTTCACTTTGCTTTGAGACAGAGTCTCGCTTTGTTGCCCAGGCTAGAGTGAGTGCCGTGGCGTCAGCCTAGCTCACAGCAACCTCAGACTCCTGGGCTCAAGCAATCCTCCTGCCTCAGCCTCCTAAGTAGCTGGGACTACAGGCATGGACCACCATGCCTGGCTAATTTTTTCTATATATTTTAGTTGGCCAATTAATTTCTTTCTATTTATAGTAGAGACGGGGTCTCGCTCTTGCTCAGGCTGGTTTCCAACTCCTGACCTCGAGCTATTCGCCCACCTCGGCCTCCCAGAGTGCTGGGATGACAGGCGTGAGCCACCGCGCCTGGACTGTTTTGTTTTTTTGATTGTTGTTATTGAATAACAAAAACAGCCCAGTAGCCAAATCTTTCAGTGTTTCGTCTGTTTTCTGTTTATGTTCTCAGCCTGGTGGTTTGCAGGCTGCGCTGTGTATGTTGCAGCAACCTGGTGCCCACGGAGAGGGTCAGTGCCGTAGCTGGCAGAGGTGGTCTCCGAGGTGGGACTGTTTATTTGAAGAGCGTTAGGGAGTCAGGGTTTTGTAGATCTACCAGGTAATTCCCTCGCTGACTTTTGCGTTCACTGTGACCCGAGGGGGCAGGTGGGTTGAGCTGGTGGTGAGTCCGCAGTGGGGAGTGATGCAAAGGCCCCGTTGAGTCGGGGCCCGCAGTGGCAGTTCTAACGAAAAAGCCTAGGGCCAGTTTCCTCTGGTGGAGTAGGCTGCCATGAGCCCACGCACACAGAGCTTATGCCTTTGTCCTCTGCAGGTGTTATTCCTGCTGCTGGGATTTTTTACAAGCTTGGCCCATTCTGTACGGACTTTCAGTTTGCAAAATTCAGCACTTGGAGACCACTGATTTGGACAGGGTCGGCACAGCCCTTCGTGGGGCCAGTGGTCTCTTCCCAGAGCTCAGAGCGCCACGCGAGGGTGCATCTGAAGGCTCTCCAAGGCCCGAGCTTGCGTGTGGCTTTGTTCTTCACATCAAACTCTTTCCAGGCAGGGAACCGAGGTTGCATTTCTTCATGCAGCTGAATGAACTGTGAATCTCTGAGTAAAAAACCCAAAGGGCTTCCTGGCTTGCGGTGTTCGGCTGTTGTACCAGTTTGACTACCTCCCTGTCCTCTTAAAGCTATAAGAAACAACAGTGACAGAGCACCTCTTGTACGTTTCTGGCTAGAGCTGGAGCCCATTGTACTAAGTGAAGTATCCCAAGAATGGAAAAACGAGCACCACATGTACTCACCAGCAAATTCGTATTAACGGATCAGCACCTAAGTGGACACATAGGAATAACATTTAGTGGGTGTCAGGTGGGTGGGAGGGGGGAGGAGGGGAGGGATATATACAAACACAACGAGTGAGATGTGCAACGTTTGGGGGATGGTCACGCTAGAAGCTCTGACTCGAGGGGGGAGGGGGGAATGGCAATTTATGTAACCTTAGCATTTGTACCCCCATAATATGCTGAAATTTAAAAAAGTAGTTTTTTTAAACCAGTTGTTCCCAAAATGGGGCCCAGGGACCTCTGGGTACCCCTGGGACTCTTTTGAGGCCTCCACAAGCTCAACAACCCATTTTTCAATCAATTCAAAGCCAAGACAGTTTTATTGCTTTCTATTCTTGGTGCATCAATGTAATGATGAGTAATTCTGCTGCCAGCTTCATACTAATGAAGCCGTGCCCCCAATCGAGTGCCGTGATTGTGGGACCGCCACTGCCCACCTGGTCAGCCAGTGTGCCCTAAAAAGTCCTTGGATGAAGTGAGGCAAATAAATTAATTTATCAAATATTTAACCTTTTTTGATACATGCTTTTTTAAAATTTTAAGTTTATTATTTGTTTGAGGACTGGAAAGTCTCACTCTGTTGCCTGGGCTAGTGCAGAGTGCCGTGACGCTCAGCTAGCTCACAGCAACTCAAACTCCTGGGTCAAGAGATCCTCCTGCTCCAGCCTCCGGTATCAAGCTGGGACACAAGGATGGCCACCACCAGGCCCAGGCTAATTATTCCCTATTTTTAGTAGAACGGGGTCTCGCTCTTGCTCAGGCTGGTCTTCGAAACTCCCTGACCCTTAGAGCCACAGTCCTCTGCCTCTCACGCCTCACCAGAGTGAGCAAAAGATACAAGCCGTGGCCACCGCACCTGGCCGACTACGTCGTTTAATGTTCCACCCTGTGAGGGAAAAGCAGAGTTACCCCTGCCGCAATACTACTAATGGAACAGCGAAAGTTTATCTTTTCTTGGAAAAGGCCCTTGTGTGACTGAGTTTGTGAGCCGAACTGGCCACTTTTTAACAACCGATTTTCTTTCTTTTTTTTTTTACTGAAAGATCACCGACAATTTCCGTCATCCTCAAACTTGGGCAATTCCTGGCAGACCCATTTTTGTTAAAAACTGGGCCCGGAATTGCATGCGTCATTTTTCGAGAAAAACTATCAGTGTTTTCGCTTGCCAGAGATACAATTTACAATTTCGAGCAAAATCAAGAAACCTGGAAAAAGCAACATGGGCTGTTCAGCTTCCCAGCCACATCTAAGCGCCTCTTATGAAAAAAACAAACACCGAGGGTCAGTCTGGTGATGACTGAGCAACACCTGAAGTCTTTCAAATGATTGAACGACAACAACAATGCTTTCAACCATTTTTGGAGGAAGCCTGACCACGGCATCGCGCCAACACAGAATCCATGGGCAGGCGAAGGAGCCATTCAAAGTGCAAGATACGAAAGCGGCTTTCATACCGTCCGAGTATTGAAAAGTTCCCTGATTTCAGGTTGCATTGTGCAGCCGCCTTTTAGAAGTCCGCCCCTTGTTTGAGTTTTCAAGTGTTAGGCCAAAGAATCAATGCCTACCCACCAGTCAAGAAGACGGCTTATTGCACATACCCTCTCTCACCTTTTTGCCATCTACCTATCTGCCAAGAGGCAGGTTTTCCCTTTTTTATGCACCTCCACCAAAAACAACAATGCAAGCAGCCAGCTCGAACCCAGGCAGCAAACCCCGAGAACTAAGCCTGTCTTCCTGTTAATCTCCAGACATTTCTAAGGAAACTTTTTCTACCTGTTTGAAGCATGCTCCTTCTCCATGAACTCCGTTTGCCCCATTTTTCTCCTACCCTCTCTCAGCCTCAAGTGCCCACCTTTTCCACAAATCCTTTCTTGAACTGAAAGTCGGAGCAGATGAGGTTCTCGGCCACTCCTGTAGCTCAGCTGCGTGCTACGTACAGCAAAACCAAGGTTTAGTCTTAAAAGAAAGGTGGCCCGCACTAACAAAAACACTGCAACCTCTCAGCCAGGGTTGGCCGGGACCCCTGAGGCCTGTCCCCCATGGGTTCTTGCCAGCTTTATAGGCTGGGCACAGGAGAACGGCAGCCAAGGCAGCAGGCCATTCTCCAGGTCCAGCTTGTACGTTTGGCGACCCGTCCCCACTTGGCAGAGCGAGCAAGGGCGCGGAGCACTCCGGCCTCTGCTGCCCGTGCAGGGCTGCCTTAGGTGCATGGAGAAGGCAGGCGGGACCGCTTAATGGCCTTTCAATCCCTGCCAACTCAAATGTGTGCCTAACGATGTGACTTTTCTTTACTCTCTTCCCACGTGGTTTTGGGTGAAAGCTTTCTTGAGCAAAAGGACAAGAGGTGGCGACTGGCCTTTCCCCAGAGGATAACATACCCACCATGTCCAACGGAGTATTCGCGTGAATCGAATTTGCTGGAGATGGTCCTCCTTTAAGAACTTTTTATAATAGACATATACAGAAAGGCGTGATACCAGGCCGGCGCGTGTGGCTCTGCCCTGTGAAATCCTAGCACTCTTGGGAACGGGCCGAGGGCGGTGGAATCTGCCTCGAGGTCAAGGAAGTTCGAACAGCCGAGCAAGAGCAAGACCCCGTCTCTGACTTAAATAGAAAAAATAATTGGCCACTGATATATATCACGAAAAAATCCAGCCGGCATGAGTGGCCATGCCTGTAGTCCCAGCCATTCAGGGAGGCTGAGGCAGGGAGGAATCGGTTTGAGCCCAGGAGTTTGAGTTTGCTGTGTCTGGGATTATTGGAAATTTGACTCTAGTTTTGGTGAAATATTAGGACCAGAGATTAAACCAAAGCATAACTGAGCCGAAGCCTGCTCCCTAAAATCAGTGAGCCATGCCATGACACCTCAACTCTAGCCTCGGGCCAACAAAGCGAGATCTCTGTCTCAAAAAAACAAACAAACATAAAAACAAAAGACGTATACAAAAGTAGCAAGAATAGTAGCGTGGACCTCCAGGTGCCCACCACCCAGGTAACCACTCCTCAATTCTTATTTCATCTACTTTCTCTTGTATGTTCAAAGACACACCTATGCGCACACACACACGGACCCCATTTAAAACATCACAGACACCATGGCATTTCAACTGTAAATATAGGCCATTTTACCTGTAAATGTACCTTATTAAAGTCTTTTTTTTAAAAAAAAATAAGTATAATGACAAGGCACTTGAAAACAATGGAGAATGCAGGAAAGATTATTTGATCTTGAGTGATGATGTAAGAGGCACTACAATAAAGCTAATAAAGGAAGGGATATATTTGTTTTTCTAATTTTCTAGTTTAAAAGGGTGGGGCATAGTTGGCTAGTTGTTAAATTTGAATGTGAAACTCGTTTTTTGTTTTCTTTTTTTCTAAAAATGTTTTAGAGATGGGGTCTTGCTCTGTTGCCCAGGCTGGAGTGCAGTGGCATGATCATAGCCCACTGCAACCTCAAACTCCTGGGCTCAGGGGGTCCTCCTGCCTCAGCCTCTGGAGTAGCTG